CGGATTATGCCTTCGTGATGGATCCGCGTTCCTTCGTGTACGGATCCCCTGGTTCGTACTGGTTTCGTTATGAAGTTCCGAAGTTGTCCTGGTTGGCAGACTGTTCATTCTTTTCGTTGGAGGCTTGGCACATGTTCTGTCGGTGCCGCGTGCTTGAGAGGCGAGAGGTTTCTACGGCGTTGCAAGTGTTCCTGGGGGAAGGGGTGACTTCGAGCATCTTAATGCTTGTTTATTCGCTCCTGCCCTTCCGCGGGAGGTTGGTGTCATGCAGCTTCACGTGCAGGTTCCCTCCCTCTCGACTGCCTTGGTTGCCGAAGATTTGTGGACTCGTGACCTGCTTGCTTCGGCTCTGTGTTTCTTTTCCCTCCTTGAGCTATCCTCGGATTGGCTTGAGTTGGATGTGGGAGCGGTTGGGGCTGCTGCCAGGTCCGGTGTGTTGCCCTCTGCGGTGCGGGCATCGTCTGCTTTGTTGAAGCTCTTCGCGCCCATCCTGCGTGATGTGGTTTCGCGGTTTTATGCTTCTCACCTCGCGTGTCGTCAGGCGGTGCTGGCTTTTTCCTTGGATATCGGCCTGAGCCCTGGCTCTTCGTTTGTCTTTTCCCTTTTATCCGTTGCTGTTTGCCGAGTCTGCTGTGGTGCAGTACCTGCAGGCAGCCACGGTTAGTTGTCGGCCTATGTCTGAGTTGTTATTGCTCTGGGGGGCTCGTGGGAGCCTTCCCGGGAGGGTCGTGCCAGGGCTCGGGGGTCTTTTCTCCTGGATTCGCTGGATGTGCTGGATGTGCTGGAGAGTGCTGGATTCGGGGCTGGTGACGTCTTCGGTTCCGACTGTTGCTGGTCGGCGTAGGGTCCGCCCTGTTTGCCGCTTGGGTTCTTGCAAGCCGCGTCGGCCCTTTTGCAGTCCGTTCCATTGATTGGGGGGTGGGGGCTCGCCCCGGTTTGCTTACGCCTGGTTCCACGATTCGTGGGCTTTTCGGGTCGTTTTGTGCGGCCTGTGGTGGCGTTGGGTGGCTCCTCCCTCGGAGGGGTTTGGGGCTGGCGGGGCAGGCCTTCTCTGCGCTCTGTCAGGTCATCTCAGAATGAGCTCACTTGGGCGTGTTCGAAACGATGACGTACCTCAGGTGGGTTTCTTGCCTGTTTCCGTTCCCAAACGGGACTGCGTGGACCTCCGGTTCATTCTAGGCTTGTCCCGTCTGAACCCGTGGGTTTTGTGCCCCTCCTTCGGGATGACTACGCCTTCCCAGGTCTGTCTTCTCTTGGAGCAGGGCGCTTGGATGGTGTGTCTGGACCTCAAGGACGCATATTGGGCATATTGGCACGTCCCGGTTTGCGTCGGTTGCTATGTCGCCGGCTTCCTCTTCGGGTTTTTCGGGGTTTGGTGCCTTGGCATCTTCCCAAGCCCTCACTTGCTGTGTACACGGATGCGTTGTCTCTTGGCTGGGGTTTTGTGGATCAGTGCTCACCAGGCCGGCCAGGGACGGTGGGGTCCGTCCTTCCGTCGAGCTCACAGCATGGTCTGGGAGTTCGCGGCGGTGTGGATGTCGCTTCGGAGGGTTCGAGTCGCTCTCAGATCGACGATCAGACTCCATTCGGACTGCTCCCCGGTGGTTCATTGCCTGAAATGCGGGGTTTCAATGCGGTCCTTGGCCCTTTGGGGCTGGTCGCTTCGGGTGACTCGGTCTGCTGAGTTCTCGGGGTTTGGCTCTCCTGGCGTTTCACATCCGGGGGGTGTCCAACGTCCTGGCGGACGGCCTGTCCCGGTTCCTCTCCCTTTCCACGGAATGGACGGTCGACGCCGACTCCTTCAGTTAGCTGTGCCGGACGTTTGGGACTCCGGACATGGATCTCTTCGTGTTGGCGTGGTTGAGGCATCTCCTGGTATACGTGGCGCCCTTCCCCGACTGCGAGGCCGTCGGGGTCGACGCCTTCAGGCAGGACTGGGCAAGGTGGGGTTACCTGTACCTCTTTCCCCCGGTTCTGCTGTTGCTCCAGGTCCTGGCTCGCTTGGAGACTTACCTGGGTCGAGTTGTCCTTCTGGCTCCTTGGTGGCTGGCCTAGTCTTGGTTTCAGGCACTGCTTGCTCGGTGTCCAAACCCGAGGGTCTTCTCACGACTTTCTTTCAGCAGATCGGTCCAGCCCTGTACGAGGCGGGTTCGGTCTTCTCCTAGAGTCTTCACATCTGGTGTTTTTGACTCGGATTTATCATTCCTTGTATGGTGCGCAGGTGGCTTCGTTGTTGGTCTCCAGGCTGCGTGCTTCATCTCAGTGGTAGTATGAAGTTTCTTGGCAGTCCTTCCGGTTTTTCCTATCACTGCGTCGGTATTTTTCGGTCTCTGATAGGATTGTTCTGTTCTTTCTCTCTTGGTTGTTTCAGGACCGTCATCTTATGCCGAATACTGTCGCCTCGTATCGTGCGGCACTGGCGGAGCAGCTTCTGCTTACTTTCGGTGTTGATGTTATTTCTGCCCCGTTTCGCAAGCTGTCTCGTGCGTTGTTTCACCTCCGGCCTGCTCATGCGCCACCTGAGCCGTCTTGGTCCTTGGACCGCATGCTCTCGTTTCTTTCTTCTCCTCGGTTTGTTGTGGCCCTTCCATTCGGGATTGTTTTTCTAAGGCTCTTTTCTTTTTGGCATTGGCCTCTGGTGGTCGGGTTGGGGAGCTTCATGCTCTCCTCCGACGCAGAGGTTTTTGCTCTTACGGTCCTGGTGGTCATTTTGTTCGCTTGCAGCCGTCTCCCTCTTTTCTGGCGAAGCATGAGACGGCTGCGTTCCGGAGGGGCCGTGGGTTGTTGATGCTTGGTTGGTCACGCCGGGGGTGCATCATGTGTTGTTCGGTTGCGGCTCTCCACCGTTACTTGCGTGCTACGGCTTCGGTTGCCGGGGATGCGCTCTAGGTTGATCCGGTTTCCCTTCTTCCCTGTTCCCGGGCTCGGGTCTCTCATGTCATCCACAAGGTTATTAAGTGTAGCCAGCCTGCGGTTTTCCCCCGGGCCCACGACATTCGTAAATTTGCTACTTTGGCTGCCGTCTTTGGCAACATGTCTTAGGTGGACATTCGGGCCCGGGGTTTTTGGAGATCGAACAGGGTCCTGGCTGCTCGCTACCTGGTGAATGTTCCTGGGCCTGGTTGGGCCTGCATTGGATTGGGTCGGCGGTTGCAGCCAGTTGTCTCGATTTCACGTTGAGAAGTGAGGATGGACCGCCTCCCGGGTAAGTCCCTATTTTTCCTTATCTTTGGGTAGTTAGCTCTGGGAAGCCGACAGGGCTCCCCCAGAAAACCAGTGTTGAATGTAATGAAACACCATTTTCTGGGTGAGTTCCGGAGGCTCCCCTGCATCCCTCCCTCCCTCCCTCCCTCCGATCGGCGGTGTTTTCATGTTTTTGACATCCATCCTAAGAACTAATAGTTGGATTGCTGACGGTGGGATCTGGGGCGCCCCCCTTCCCCCTCCTGGGGAGGGGGGAGGGTTGCGCAGACATCGTATCGGCGCGGCGATACGATGACGTCATGCTTGTTTGCAAATTTTCGTTTGGGGAGTTCTGTCCACTTGTTCGGTCTTTGGTTGAAATAATTTACCAGAATAGGGGTTAGTTTTGGGGTGCCTACCTTTCTGGGTGCCTATCCCGGTCGATGGCAGACATAGAATGCTCCCAATCATAAGGGGGGTCTCTATAGGCCATTGCTCCTCGTGCCTCTCTAGAGGGGGCCAGGTTCTGGCTCGTGGTCCCCGGTAGGCAAGAACTCCATGCATTGACTGATTCCAGAGAGTTATACATATCCATTCAACCTGGATAGCTCCGGGAAGCCTCTGAGACTCTCCCAGAAAATGGCGTTTCATTACATTCAACGCTGGTTTTTAGTAGTGTTTTGACTACCATGCTTGTTAATGATACGGGGTCTATAATTTAGAGGTTCCTCTCTTCTACCATTTTTATAAATTGGTACTGTTTGCCTTTTTCCATATACAGTATCGGCCAAGATTCCTGTGCACAAGGATGTGTGGAATAATTATTGAGTGGAATGCTCAGCTCAGTTGCACATTCTCAGCACCCAAGGTGAAAGTCCATCAGGTCCTACCACTTTTTCTTCCTAACTCCATGATTAATTTTTCCACTTTGTTTTGAGATACCTCCTTGTATTCTATGGTATGTGTGTGTGGCTCCTGGCGTGGATTTTCTCCTTTGTCTTTGTACTTGCAGCTTCTCCTGCTCTCTGGTAGTCTCGTGTTTTTGGTCTCCTTGGTTGTTTAGCTTCAGGGAGCTGCTGGGGGCTATCCCAGAAACCCAGCATTGAATGTAATGAAATGCCTGTTTCTGGTAGAGTCCTGGTGGGTCCCTAATTCCCACCCTTCATTCCAGGTTTGTGAGTGGGTTGTTCATCATCTGCAGACTTGTCTAGGGTAACCAGCTGTGGGCTAGCAATGGGATGCCTAGTGGCAGGCAGCTATTGTTTCTTACACGTTCGAGCTAGTTTTGAGCAATTCTATTATTTCGCGTGAAGCATTTACGAAGTTGTTTGGTAGTTTCAAGATGTCATTTTCTCTGTGTCCTTCAGTTGACTGTAAGGTTTCTCTGATGTTCTGGATGCTTTTCCCAATGGAGTGATGGATTGTCACCTGCTGCCTGCACCTCTGAAAGGGGGCCAGGTTCTGGCTCTGGTCACCAGTAGCCCAAACAGAACTTCTGCAACTGATGTGACACAGTAAATGGAGCAATCTCAGTGAGATACTTTCATGGAGTCACCAGGCCTTTACCAGAAAGAGGAATTTCATTTACACTGAACACTGGGTTTATGGGGGATGAACGTAAAGTTGAATGGAGGCATAAATAAACCTTGTCCTACAAATTAGTAGTTTACTGTGCACAGTGAATACCAATGAAGTACTGTAATGGAGTAGGAGGACATGACTATATATTTGTTAGGGTGAATGTGTTGACTAATGTGTATTGGCACCACTTCTAATATTCTTTGGTTTGAGATAATAAATAGCTTTTACTTCTACAGGTTGGTGCCTCTATGCCTTGCCTAGGAGATGTAGCAGAGGAAGATGCAGGTGTTACCTCTGCAAATACAGATGGAGCAGATGCAGAAGGGGCAGGGGATGAAGATGCAGATGAAATTGTGGATGGTACTGCAGGGGAAGATACTGGAAAGCGACGGAGACAACCTTCTCAGAAGATGATTGAGGCCATGGGTATGCTGAAAAGAAAAGTTCCAGAATCTCCCACTCAAGGTACGACTAGTGTTTATCTTGGTTTGTTCTCACAATGAAATAAGCATCCCTTAACCTATTACAGAAATTTGCATTCTCTTTGACAACAAATTCTTGAGAAATCATTGTGTCGAGTGCTTATGTTTGCTCATTAGAAATCAGTTAAGTATAATCCTTATATAAGGTATAAACCTTAGTTTTCACTAAATTTATTTTGAGAGTTTAAACCTTTTACTTATTTCCTTAAGCAATATCCTCTTCTGACTTGAACATGTTATCAGCCTGGCCAGTGTAACTTTCACTGCTTGACATACCTGGAGAGAGGGTTTTGGGAGCTATTTTACTCCCTGAGCTTTCCCTAAGGTCAGACTTGATAACATATCAGGGATCTTTTCAAAACACCACCATCACATTATTAACGCTTGCATTCTGGTGGCATCCAGAAACCATATGCTCGTATTTGGAAGCTGTAGTATTGGAAAAAAATACGTAAATTTGTTATTTTCTTAGGTTCATATTCAGTAATATACGAATGATTTATGCACATTTTCATTGCAAAAAAATATAAATGGTACTAAATAGTACTAAAAAAATATAAATAGTACATACCCATTAACTGGTTCAAAATATCCATGATCCAGTATGTAAATTCAAATAATATAAATTTATTATACAATCTTTTGTTTTTATACAGACTGTATAATAGATCAATAAGTGTATTTTGAGAAAATTATTAAAAAAAATGCAAATAGCATACTACAATTCTTAATGTGCAATTAAAAACATCAGTTATTAACTCATGCATCTGTGTTAAGTGTGCTATCAGTTATTACACACAATGCTGATGCACATAACTGTGCATCAGTTTTTACCCCAACCTTTTAAATTAATTTTTTCAAGTATATTTATATAAATTATATTATTATGGCAGTTTTCAGAGCAATTGGTAAAATTGAACAGACAAATTTCAACTGTCTGGAATTGAAATCTGTCTTGAAGAACCTCAGTTAGCAATAATGTACTGTATTTTACTTTACAGTATAGAGATGTAGTACTGTACACATTCAAACTGGTGAACTTTAATATTATATATTTTCTGTGGGGAGCCTCGTTGATTCCCTGAAGCTATCCATACTGATATATTGCTGTATTAGTTGGGGTCATCAGTCAGAGAGAGCCTTTGTTTCCTACTGGGGACCACGAGCTAGAATCTGGCCCCCCTCAGAGAGGCGCAGAGAGCAATGGCCTATGAGCACTTTACATTTAAAGTATGTCATAATTGCAGCTTCAGCGTTGCATGCTAGGTTCCGATTGCTGCAATGCGAGAGGTTGGTTGCTTCCCCAGATGTCCCGAGACTGCCCCGCTTTGGCTGTTGGGACCCGGACTTAGGGGTGTTAGTTTCCTCGGCTTTGGTTCAGTCCACACCCCCCTTGTCCTTTCCCTTCTGTTGTGCGTCCTGGTCCCTTTCCTTCTGGCCCCGAAACATCTAAGGGTTCCGTGATCCCGTGGGCTCGTCAGTTCCGTCTTAACGGAGGTTTTTGGCCTTCTGCATCCTGTCATATGTGGTGCTGGAGGCCTTTGCGACTTACCTCCTGCGCAACCTGGATTACGCCTTTGTAATGGATTTGAATTCATTCGTGTATGGATCATTGTGTCCTTACTGGGTTCATTGTGAGGTTCCCGAGTCCTCCTGGTTGGCAGACAGCCCTATTTTCTCGTTGGAGGTTTGGCATGCGTTCTGTCAGTCCCGCACGTTTGAGTGGAGGGAAGGTCATACGGTGTTGTAGGTTTTCCTTGGGGCGATTTTGAGCATTTGAATGCGTGCTTGTTCGCCCTTGCCCTTCCAAGGGATGCAGCTTCATGTGCAGGTTCCATCCCGTTCGGCTGCATTGGTTGCGGATGACTTACACGCAAGTGGCCTGTTGGCTTCGGCCATGCGTTTCTTTTCCCTGCTCGAGTTGTCCTCGTATTGGCGTCGGGAGTACATGGAGGTGTTTGGGGCTGCCTCTGGGTCTGGTGTATTATCCTTGGCAGTGTATGTGTCATCTACATTGTTGAAGCTGTTCACACAAATCCTGAGGGATGCGGTTTTGCTGCTTTTTGTTTCCTGTCTCGCATGTCGACAGGCGGTGCTCGCTTCTTCCTTTAAATCCAATTGGGCCCTGGCTCTTAGGTCATCTTCGCCCTTATGTCCGTTGCTGTTTGAAGAGTCTGCGGTTGTGCAGTATCTGCATGCAGCTTCTTATAGTTGACGTCCTATGTCGGACTTGTAGGCTCACTGGGGGGCCCATGGGAAGCGTTCTCGGAGGGGTCGTGCCAAGACTTGGGGTTCCTCCCGTTGTGGTAGGCCAGTGATGCCAGATTCAGTGACAGCGCAGTCTTCGGAACCATCTGTGGCCTCGTAGCCTGGTGGATAGCGCGCAGGACTCGTAATTCTGTGGCGCGGGTTCGATTCCCACACGAGGCAGAAACAAATGGGCAAAGTTTCTTTCACCCTGAATGCCCCTGTTACCTAGCAGTAAATAGGTACCTGGGAGTTAGTCAGCTGTCACGGGCTGCTTCCTGGGGGTGGAGGCCTGGTCGAGGACCGGGCCGCGGGGACACTAAAGCCCCGAAATCATCTCAAGATAACCTCAAGATATCTTGTTTCTAGTCGACGCAGTGATCGATTTGTGTGCCACCTTGGTTCTCTTAAGAGGCGTTGGGCCTTTTGCTGTTCGTCCTATTGACGGGGCGATGGAGGGGAGGCTCTCCCTGTTAGCTCATGCCTGGACCCACGGTTTGTGGTCTTTTGGGTCGTTTCGTGCGGCTTGCGGTGGCGTTGAATGGCCCCTCTCCTCCTTCAGGGCGTTTGGGGTTGGCGAGGCAGGCCTCTTCTCCTGCGCTCTGTCAGGTCATCTCGAAGTGGGTTCACTTGGACATGGTCGAAACGACCTCGTTCCTTAGATGTGTTTCCCGCCTGTTTCTGGTTCCGAAACAGGACTGTGTGGACCTCAGGTTCTTTCTGGACTTGTCCCATCTGAACTCCGTGGGTTTATTGCCCCCTCTTTTCGGATGACTACTCTGTCCCAGGTCCATCTTCTGTTGGAGCCGGGTGCTTAGATGGTGTCCCTGGACCTCAGTGATGTGTTTTGGCACGTCCCTATTCATCCTGGGTTTAGAGACTGGCTCGGTTTTATGGTGGGGCATCAGGGTTACCACTTTCGTTGCCTTCCTTTCGGTTTGAATCTGGCGCCTCGCATTTTCACACGCCTTATCCAAGTCGTGGTGACCTGTCTGCGTCTTTTAGGTGTTTGGGTTCTGGCCTACCTCGATGACTGGCTGGTTTGGGCTACCAGCAGGTTCCCGTGTCTGCCCACCAGGGATTTGGTTCTTTCCCAGCTCACCGGGTTCAGGTTCCTGTTGAACTGGCGAAAGTTCTGGTTCCTTCTCAGGTTCGGTCTTGGCTGGGTTTTGTGTGGGACGCTTGGACTGCTTCCTTGTCTCTTCCTCCGGAGGCTCTGCGTCTGCCGCATTCCTGCCTTTGCCTGTTTTTGAGGGGCTCCCGGCTCATGTAGCAGTTGCTCGAAAGTTTGTGCGGAAGCCTAAACTTTGCCATGATGGTCTACCCGCTGGGTCGGGTTTGGCTTCGTCAGCTGTTCTGCTTCCTTCGGGGACGTCCCTGCCGCCCCTCTCGCAACTGCTGGGTTTGTACTACAGGGGCTTTGCGTCTATTGCTGCGTCACTGGCTTCCTCTAAAGGTTTTTCGGGGTTCAGTGCCTTGGTGCCTACTCAAGCCCTCGCTCGATGTGTTCAAGGATGCGTCGTCTTTCGGCTGGGGCTCTGTGACCAGTGCTCACCTGGCCGGCCAAGGGTGGTGGGATCCATCCTTCCATCGGGCTCACAGCACGGTGCTAGAGTTAGCAGCTGTGTGGATGTTGCTCCAGAGGGTTTGGGTAACTCGCGGATCAACGATTAGGCTCCATTCGGACTGTTCCTCGGTAGTTGATTGCGTGAACTGTGGGTGTTCGATGCAGTCCTTGGCTCTTTGGGGCTGGTGGCTTCGGGTGACTCGTCTGCTGAGTTCCTGGACCTAGATTCACGAAGCTCCATGTATTTCTATGTAACTATGTGTGCTACGAAGGTTCCTAAGTACCAGTTAAGAACGCGCCAAAGGGCGATTCAGAAAAGTATACTTAAGATTTTTAAGTTGTTTACTTAGGTCTTGCTAGATGTCACTAGGCTTTTAGTTTGGCTAATCAGAGAGAAGGTAACTTTTTCATCTTACAGCTGTAGCCAATCACGACGCTGGCATATCGGAGCTTATTCGTGACCACTTGCTACTTATTTACATTGAATTTTCTTATAAAATTAATACATATTGGAGTAAAACTATGGGAGCCCTACGGCTCCCCGGAGCTATCCAGGCTGATATGCTAATATCAGACTTTGACATCAGTCATGTGTATGGAGTTCCTTGGGCCTACCGGGGACCATGGTCAGAACCTGGCCCCCTCGGAGAGGCAAGGGGAGCAATGGCCTATAGAAGCCCCCGTGTGGTTGGAAGCATTCTATGTCTGCCATTGACCAGGTCAGGCACCCAGGTAAGGTAAGCATCCCAAAACAAACCCCTATTCTGGTGAAAATATTGCTACCAAAAGCCAAATAAGTGGATAGAACTCCCTAAACAAAAAAGAGCAAACTAGTGTGACGTCACCCGTTGCCGTGCCGCCGTCTGCGCAGATAGCCCCTCCCCGGGAGGGGGGAAGGGTGAACTCCAAACCTACAGCGTCGGCGATCCACACCCAAGTTCTTGAGGCTGATGCTATAGGCAGTGGTTGTGTGCTCTGGCTCCAGACTTTTATGGCGCTGTGCTTTGTGTGTGGCGGCTCTTCTCCAGGGGTGCGAGTGTCAGGAGTTACTCTTCAGTACTCGGGCTGCATTCGCCTAGTTTTCCCTTCCCTGGGTGTCCTGTAAGTACTGCACTTGGCACTTGGGGTTACCTTCCACAGGTTCCTTGGGATCTGCCTCTGTGGGTCTG